GACAGTATAAAACATACTCAAGAATAGTAAAAGAATACCTCCAATCTCTCCAATTAAGGAAGAAAATTACAGTGAAAATATTTTGGCATAGGCAAGGCAGAACTGGCAAATTAATGTCACAGTGTATTTCTATTTATGCTAATCACAAAATACTTGTGTAAAATACTTTTTAATTTTTTTTTGTCTCCAAGTTCATCAGGGGACTTACCTGTCTACTTAGATTTAATACGTGATCATTTTAGATGTAATGCCATCCATTTATACAGGAATTGTCCTGTGCTGGAGCTGTCTTTCTTCCCTCCACTTTTACTCTTCCATTCTAATAGAAAGGTTTGTAATGGTTATAGCATAAATGTGAATTGACAAGAGAATTTTGTTATTAAGGCTTTTTCCTTATTTTTCTCTGTAGAGAAGGGCTTTTCGGTGGGTAAATTAAAAGTGTAATAAGAATTTGGAATCAGTAATAAAATATATTATTCCCAGATTAAATTACTTGATCTATTTAACTGTTTGTTACTTGTGAATAATGTCTGTGAGACAGGCTACATGGGCAGCATTTACACTGTGAGTCCCAGGAAGGTTTCCCTGCCCTCAATTCTGGATGCTCTCAAATACTGACTTACAAAGCATGAAAACATCTTCCTGTCATTTCCTCGGGTCCTCCACAAGGGCCAAAAGGGACAAACTCACCTTTTCTGCACAGCTGAAGACAAGACTGTAGGGTTCACCACTGTGCACACTTTTCTTCCATCAGGGTATAATTTTTCCCTGTTCAAAGCCTTCCTTCACTTTTTAGCTAATGTAATAAATGTAGCTACCACTGCTGACCATATTTCACAGCATATAATGACAATCTCTTTGCTGCAAAATTGAAAAAGGTAGTCAAATCTGTGAGAATTAGTTTGGACATTTTTAATAATGTCATACACTGCATTGATAAATTAAACTTCAAAAGAAGTTTCAGCAAGAGATTTCAGATAGTTTTCCAAATATCTGAAGAATACTTTGGATTGGTTCATGGTTAATGTTATACGGCAAAAGAAGCTCAGAACCCTAAAGAAAAGTGTTCAGTAAACAGCCAGATACTTTTGTTGTCTCAGAACATTGCTAACCAACCTTGCCAATGTGTTGTTACATTAAAAACACACCAGCATGGACCTGGATATTTGAATCTCTCAGAAATGCATTATATCATCTGTAGATAAACATAGTGTGTTGTGTTTTCTGTTATAGACCTTTGCCTGTGGCACTAGAACTGCTTCCCTATGCATACAGCTCTTTAAATGCAGACACAGTATTTTATGTCCTTGTTCCATGCCATGCCATGCCATGCCATTAGTTGTTTCTTACATATTTTGTGTTAAGCAAGTAATTTAAAGCACATTACCAAGTCTGCTCCCTCTGACTCCAGCCTTAGCAAATGTATAGTCTATGCAAGCTTTTTTCTGTAATCAGAGGATCCAACCAGTGCTAGAACTCGCCTATTGCAATCATAGTTTGAAGAAAAATGAATAACTTCTGATGAAATTATTACTTAAAAAATTGTCTCTTCAGTGTCTGGGATTTAAAAATTTTCTGCACTTACTAAAAAACTTCCTGTGCCTCAGAACACTATCCTTGACACATTGTACCTTAGCCACACAGTCCCAACACCATGAAATCTGAGTATTAGAAGACAAGAGGCATTTTTTTTTAAGCCTGCTCAGAAATGCTTTCTCTATTAACACTGACAATTCTGCATATTAATCTGTTTAAAGATTAGAACTAAGAAGTGCCCACTCCATCATGGAGCATCCTCCAGATGGTGCATACAGCAAGGATCTCCCTGTGGCATGAGGTACTTCTGCATCAGTTCTGGTCTGCCCAGTCCCAGGGCAGCCCGGCATTTGGACACTGGAAAAACTCCTGCCTTTTACTTAATTTTCTCTACATTGCAGACAGGAAAATTAATTCTCTTTTAGGCATGCTTGGCAAGGAGTCCCCAGCCTTTGCTAGGTGCTGGCAGCTGTTCCTTCACATAGGTTCCCAACACTGTGAGGGTGGCCAAGGGTGTTTAGAAAGGGGGCACAGGCAAGATTTAGGAGCTGATTACTTTAGGTGAGAGGATATATAATGGGAAAGTATGAAGAGGAGGAAGCAAACATGGACCTGGCACTCTCTGGGGAAAAAGAGAAAAATATTTTATTGAGGAATTATTCTATGAGTCACACTTTTTCACTACTCAAGCAAAGCACTAATCTGTACCTACTCCAGCTAATTAAGTTGAAAAATGTTTTTGAGAAAATAAACTTGGCAAAAACATAACTTTGAAACCATCTGCTCTGACCACATACACTATTATTTTCAGACATTTGTACCTTGAATGAAAAAACCTGAAACCTTGAGAATGTATTTTTCCTAATGGAGGAGTGCACTCTGTTGCTCTACTTTAAGGCTATTTTCAAGATCCTTACAGTAGGAGGAAGTTTTCTTGTCTTTCACAACAGTCAGAGGCAGCTTCACTGCTGGTGTCTGGTAGGCAAATTTGTCTCTACTAAAGACTCTGACATTTCATTAATGTACACTAAGTTTGAATTTGGCTGAGGTAATCAATTCTGACAAGATCCAGACATATATAGAAAGATGCCTGCTGACTCTCATTTCATTCCAATAAAAAGAGTATTTCTACCAGTAGTAATCCCAGTGATTTTAGAAACCATTTGAGAAGTTACCTGTTATTCATCCCCAAAGGAACTTGGCTCCTGTGGTTATAAGTATTATCAAAATAATGTAAGATCCTAAAATAGGTGCATTTGAATGGACTTCAAATCTGAAATTATTTAGTGAAAAAAAAATTGTAGTACGACAAAAAAGTTTCTACATAGCCTTACTAAATTCAGCTAATGATTTAACCCACTGTATGTATGTAATGCACTCACACGTGTGTGAGTGTATTGGATTTGCATGGCAAGATTTTGATAGCTGGGCTGCTTAAGTGAGTTGTTGCTTCCAGAAGATTCTCCCCTTTCTCCCATGCTCAATGCCAGATATGCCATGATGGACATGCTTCTGGCCAAAGCTGAACATCCCTGGTGATGGTAGTGCCTCTGGGATAGCAGATTTAAGAAGAGGAAAGAAGTTAGTGCACAGGAACAATTTCAGACAGGGTACAAGAGAGTGAGAATATGTGAACATGACACAACTCTGCACCCAGGTCAATGGAGAAGGAGGGGAGGAGGTGTTCCAGGTGCCAGAGCAGACTCCTCTGCAGCTGGTGAGGAAGACCATGGTATGGCAGGCTGTCACCCTGCTGCCCATGGAGGTCCATGGTGGAGCAGAGATCTGCCTGCACCCCTGGGTAACTCCACACTGGAACATGTGCATGAAGGAGACTGTGACCCACTGGGAACTCTGCACTGGACCAAGCTCCTGGCAAGACCTGTGGTCCTGTGGAGAGAGGAGCCCAAGCTGGAGCAGGTTTGCTGGCAGGACCTGGCTCCATGGAGGACCCATGCTGGAGCAGCCTGCTCCTGAGGAACTACATCCCATGGAAGGGACCCAAGCTGGAGCAGCTCATGAAGAACTGCAGCCCGTGGAATGGAGCCATGTTGTAGAAAGTTGTGCAGAACTGTCTCCCATGGGAGGAACCCCACAATGGAGCAGGGGAGGAGTGTGAGAAGTCCTCCCCCTGAGGAGAAAGTTGAGGAGAAACAGCATGAGGAACTGACCACAGCCCCCATTCCCATCTCCCTGCACCATCGGGGGGTAGAAATAGAGAATTCAGAGGTGAAGCTGTGCCTGGGAAAAAGGAAGGGGTGAGAGAAAGGTGGTTTTAAGATTTGATGTTATTTCTGATTATTCTACTCTGGTTTGATGGGTAATATATTAATTGCCCCAGGTTGAGTCTATTTTGCCCATGATGGTATTTGGTGAGTGATGTCTCCCTGTCCTTATCTTGACCCACGAGCCTTTCCTTATATCTTCTCTCTTTCCACTCCCCAGCTGAGGGGTGGAGTGATAGAGCAGCTTTGTTGGGACCATGCATCCAGCCAGCACTAAACCACCAGAGTAACAGAAGGAAAATTCTTATTTTCATTCTTTTTCTTTTTTTAATGCAACTCTGGCCCTCTTTGATACATACGTTTCTTCTATTCTATGCCTTCTATGTCAGCTCTTGTGTGATGCTATTCAATGTCACCTTTATAAAAGAAAATAGTGGGGAAATAGGAACTAGTGATCAAAGAAAATTATGATATAAAACCTTGATATATACTTGTTTGAAAAGCTATCTGAAAAAATAATAAATATTTACTTGCTTTTGGGAGACTTTGGTGAAATTCAGTTTTAAGGATAATATTCTAAAAAAAAAATTCCTGTCATGGTAATAGATAGACCATAAAGTATCGCACAGGATAGGTGTGCATCCTGACAAGGATTAGTGAAACACTGGGGATTGCTAGTGCTTAGTTCACATTGTAAGTATTTTGTAATGCATCTGCAAGAGTTTTGTCAGTATTAAAGCATGTAAACCTGCTTTTTAGAGAATTAGCAGGGAACATGCTGAGAACAGTTTGTTCATGGCTGTGGAATTCAGTTTATTTGTTTGCAGACCTCAGTTGTGCTCCTTGGTTTCATATCAGCTTCTACCTCATGTTCTGTGAATTCTTCACAAATGTTGCTGATTAAATAATAGAAGTATTTGTGAACTTGCTTTTCAGTTTCAAATCAGGTTTTGAAGTCCATGTGTTTCGCAGTCTGTTGACTCCTCGTGTACTTAACCAATGAAGAAGTGAAGCATTATTGTGAAAAGAAAATCTTTTTTCTCTGCACTTTACTTTTGTCATCGAAGGAAAGACAGGCTGACCCAGCCCTCTCTTACTGGTATAATCAGAATGAGTGGGCTTGCACAGGTTGTGGATTTATTTTAGTTTTTTTAAACTCTATCTACTAAAGATACATAGAATGAAAAAACTCTGCAGAGGTACCAAGAAACTAACTCTCTTCCTTTCTTCTCTCTGTAGTTTGTTGCTCAGCCCAACTGCCAGCAGCTGCTCGCATCCCGCTGGTACGACGAGTTCCCCGGATGGCGGAGGCGACACTGGGCAGTGAAGATGTTGACATGTGTTGTCATAGGACTCCTTTTCCCAGTCTTCTCTGTGTGCTACCTGATAGCTCCCAAAAGCCCACTGGGGCTGTTCATCAGAAAGCCATTTATCAAGTTTATCTGCCATACTGCATCCTACTTGACTTTTCTGTTCCTGCTGTTGCTTGCCTCTCAGCACATCGACAGGTCAGACCTCAGCATGCAGGGACCCCCACCAACCGTCGTCGAGTGGATGATATTACCGTGGGTCCTGGGTAAATGTATTGCTAAAGAAAATACAGTGAAAAGTATTTTGACCACTGTGGTTTTGCCAAGCTTTCCTGAGGCAGGATACAGCACAGTTCTGTCGTGAATTATTGACCTACTAAAACAGGCAATTGGTCCATCTCCTCCAGTGCTTAGCAAGAATAGTTGACAATGTAGACAAGCAGCAGAGTTTGAAAATCCATAGTTGCACCATCTGATAGATTACAGTGAGGAAAACCAGCAGATATCAAGGATTCCTTCCTGTGATTATGCAGTGCCCTGAAACATATATATTGTTTTTCTTTTAAATATAAATTTTCTCCAGATCAGAAATTTTCCTGTTTCTTGTAAGTGTCCATTTTTTAAAACTGCTAATCTACTCTTATAAAGAATCCCTTTGGTACAAGAATTATTTTTCATGTAGGGAATTGAGGCATAATGCAATTTCTGTAGTGTTATTACTAACCTTAATTACCTACAGTAAGTTTCTTTCTAAATGACAGATACACCTATTGCAAATAGTGATGATTAGCATTTTCAAGTGAGTACTTTCATTAAAATATTCACACAGAGTATTTTTTCAGTGCCAGAGCTTGTAACTCAATTCAATTGAATTGACCTCTCAATTAAAACCAAATATCCTATATCAGAAAGAATAAGAAAATTCCCTAGCATTTTTAAAATGGAAAAAACCCCTTACCTCTCTATCCTCATAGCTGAAAATAAAAATTTTAGTCTGGGGTTATTGAAAGCCTACTTTGTGTGGACCATGTCATCCTTAAATGTGGTTCTTCCTTCCTGTGATCCTAGTATTATCCTAGGTGCTCCCTAACTTTGCCTGTCTGCCCTGCCAGATGGTAATTTCTCTCAATATGCTGTGGTCTCTCCCCTTTTTTTTCTTATTTTAAGAACCAAAGCAAGTTGGATCAGGTCATATTTGTTTAAAATAAAATTGTAGAAGGAGGGACTTAGTAGTCTTGAGTGCAAGAATTTAGGTTTGATATGTTCATTAAAATTGTCATCTCATGGACAGGTACCTGCACAAAAATTTATTAAATTTCAGTGGTATTTTGATACCACTACTTCTCCCAGAGCTTCTCATTAAGATACTGTGTATCTTCCATTTTTCCCAAACATGTGGGTTTCTTTAGAGTAATGTAACTTTTCTAAGGCTTTTGGCCCCATTCATCCCAAAAAATATACTACACAGTGTAGAACTTGTAGTACACTAGTTGGCTGTGCCTGATATTTTGGAGAACAACAATTCAGTGGCTTTTCCTCTGTATGTACCTTGTTAGAACACTGTGGGAAGCAGGAGGCAGGTGTACATCTGCTTTTCACAGTGTGCATGACTGAAAACTCTGTCTACCCTCACTTCTCAGGCATCTGTCAGAAGGACCTGCCTTCCACAGGTGAACTGCTTTTTGGGATTTCCCCTGTGGTAGCACAGCAGTACTCACCACCAGCCTTCACTGTGAGGTGTGTTTTCCTTGGCTGGATAAATATTTCTAATACAGTAAACCAGCCAAAATCTAAGATTATTGAGAAGAAATTATTGAATATGGGAGATTGTCTAGACTGGTAATTCTTACAGACAAGTATGTACTAGTCATAACTTATTCCATAAGCAAGTTTCACATTTAAATATTAAAAGAAAAATTTCCTCCAGTTAATTTTCCCAGTTTTGTACCATCTAGAAATGAGAAAGCAATATAAACACTATTATCTTTATAGATTACTTCCTTAGAAATAAATGCTACAATGCTGAGGAGGAGCAGGGGGCTCTTCTGTGCTGTGCCATGCCCAGAAGAGATATTAGTATCTTTTCTGTCTGGCCTTCCAAAATAGCAGGTGGTCAGTATCTATTCAGCTTTCACAGTATCCTGAGACTAAAAGATAATAAGAGAAAATGAATAGCTGGCACGTAGACCTTGACATGTCAAAGTGAATTTTGTCATTAACCTGTCTTTTAATAGAGCTGGAAGAAAGAGGCACAGTTTGAGAAGGGCAAGAGCTAGTTTTTGGTATAGGCAATTAAAAAAATTTAGTGACTAGCTCCTCTCCAGAAAACTCTCAGTGGGAAGAGGAAGAACCTCAGTTGCCCTCAACCTCTGACATAGTTGTTTACTTGGGAAGATGTTTAATTAACTCAGCATCCCAAAGCACTTGTTTGAAGAAGCCGTTAACCCTGAGAATTATGGTGTTTAAGATGACTATCATTTCTAAAAGCAACATTAGTATTTTCAGTAGAGACTCATATGGATGGATTGTGCCTGTGCTGAACAAACCCTTCATCTGCAAGCAGTACAGGTCAAGTCAAGGGAGCCACTTCCATAAACAAAAGTTCATGAACATGGATGAAGATCAATATTTTGATACCATTGATCAAATAGCTTGTAGTCAATCTAGACTGTCCTGTTCACAAAAACCTTGCTTTCCAAAATTTCCCGCATTCAAAATTATGCATTTTGCACACTGATCTCTAATGTTTCCTAACAGCAGCTTCCTGTTCCAGTTTCACATTTTGTGTGTTCAGCTTTCAGATCTTGATTGCTGTAGTGCCTTAGCCCAGCCAAATAATGAGGCCTCAGATTAACACATCATAATTTAAGGCAATTCATTTGGTACCTGATTTCCCTGTACCACTAAAGGAGACACACATCTCCACAGGACATTCCAGCTCACAGCATGTGATGAACGTGTCTATTTCAGCTTTTTTGTTTGCATATTTGGGTCTTTTTCATGATGTGTTTTTCTGTTTGTTTGCTTTTTGTTGAGGGGGTTATTTTGGTTCATTTTCTTTTGATGAATTTTTGTTTGTTTTTTTCTGGTGCTTTCAGTGGTGGTGGTTGTTTTTCTAAAGGAATGAATCTCAGCCAAACCCTGCTCTTTTCCTATTCACATACATACAAACTGTGGTCTAGTCATCTTTTAATAAACTTAATATTTTTCTTAAGTCCTTATCAATAAGCTAATGTTTGTTTCCAGGCTGCAATTTAGTTTGTTGTCTCATCTCTCCAATACATAAAATTGAGCAGTATTCTTAAAAAGAGTAAATGAAGTGCTATTCAAGGGAGACTGTATCTGAGATACATAGAGATCTTTTTGCATTTCTGGATATAAACAAAAATATTTGTCATTTGAGTCAAAACTAGTGTGGCTCTAGAGTTATAGTTCTTCTCTGAAACCTGCAACCTGGTAATAAATAAATATGTAAATACTTCCTGGGGAAAGGATATCTTGGAGCAGCAACTGTATGTCAAAACTATTAATATTTTAAACAATAGGATTTTTTTTTACTTTTCTTAATTCAAATAGCTCTGGATGTACTTTGCATTGTAATACTATCTCTCTTAGAATTTAGAGAGGAAGAAGTGCTCACTGTTGTAGGTTTCTCATCAACATGAACTTCAGGACACTGATATTTCATGCAATTTAGGAAGTTTCAAGACTGTCCACAGTGACCTAAGCTCTCCAGTGAGCTAATAGTAATTAGCATTTGCCAACTACTATGTAATGGAAGGCTGAATGTGCATAATTAACATATATTCAAACTGTCACTAGAGTAGGAGGCTCAGAGGAAAAACTTGTATTGGGCTACATTTCCATGGAGACTATCAACTTTACATTTTAAAAGTCTCTTGAGGAAACTTCTGCATTAATTTTGTCTTTTACATGATTAGATGATTACACAAGTGGTGCTCCATTACATGGTGATTATCTGTGGAACGGTAGGTCAGTGTTACAAGGCTGTCATAACCTTAAGAAGTAGTTGAGGAAAAACTTCCCAGTAAGAAGAGTCAGAATCTCCTGTCCTTTTACTTGAACAAATAAGAAACAAACTTTGGCTCATAAGGAAAATTAATTGTCATCTTATTATTAGCTGTTGCTTCACACTACAGAAACATAGGCCTGTTTACTGTACTTGAGAATCAATCGCCCTTGAAATATGAACAGGAAAAATCAAGAATATCATCTTGGGGAAAAAAACAAGGAAGAACAGCTTTTTTCATCATATTTCTCATCCAGTTGCTGAGTGTCCTCTGAGCATGATAGTAGTGTTTCAGAGGGGAAATGAGATAAGACCCAACTTTTGTGTGCCTCTGTGTGCCTCGACTGCAGCTCATGTAAGGATCATGTTGATCCCTGTATGGTTGTCATAGCTGTTCTTCTGCCCTAAACCATGGCCTCAAACCTAGCAGTGACTGTACTAAGTGTCCTCACAGTGGGCATTTGCTTCACCAGCAAATGCTGTGAAATTCAGAGGAGAAAGGCATCAACCAGAAAAATTTAGTGTTCAATAGTTGTGGTTAAAAAGCTCCCTGCCAGTTTTTCAGGGGGGCTGCAGCAAAAGACTTTTTTTTAGGGAATTTCTTTTGATGAGTTTTTTGTTCTTTTATGGTCATATTTAACTGTTCATTTTGATTGCATTGTTCAAAAGCCTGCCCCGAGCAGGAATACAACCCTGCTGGATCTCTTGAACAATGTGTTCCCCATCCTTTCTGTCAGAATGGTTTATATTATTGGAGTACACGAATCTATAGCAAACGTGGATGTTTGGGAACTGTGCAAAATTGCAAACATTTGTGGTTAGCAAGCTGCTGGTGGGATGTATGGGAATGTATGGTCTTGTCAGTCCTTAACACAATGTACATCCAAACTGATGGCACAGCAAGACACTTCAGAATAATTGATCATAGAGGGGGCAAGTACAGTGTGCACCATCTCCTAAATTAGGTCAAGAAAGTGTTGTGTAAAAAAATTAAACGTTTAGTATGAACTGACGTGTTTCAGGGAGCAGATATAGAGGGTAATATGGCTGGCAAGATGAAACAGTGCATAACCAATAGTGACATATATAGCACAGAGGAGAAAAACAACCCCGGACAAAGCAGGAACACAACTTTGTTTAAGGAAGGATAATGTACATAATCACCACAAAAGGCCATTAAATCCAAACTACTGCTCAACACAGGCTAACTGCAAAGACAGGTCACATTGTTCAGGT